TCATATATATATATATATATATATATATATACACACACACACATACATACATACATATATACATACATACATTAAATAAACTACTACTTATTACTATTCCTACTTGGCGGTTTTTCACTTTTCGCGGGGCTTCAGGGTACAGATCCCCCCCCCCCCCCCCCCCCCCCCCCCCCCCGATAAACGAGGGACTACTGTAGTAAAAATTGAAGCCATTTTTTTCCTAATCAAACAGTTTATATAAACTTGGTCCATTGGTGCTGTCCAACCAAATGAAACACGTGGCTAACGGTAGTTTAAGGAGTATGACCGAATCTTTACTGGTCATCTAAATCGTTAGATAAATTGATAAAATAACATTAAAAAGTTTTCCTATCTAGATGGATTTCGGTGATGTAGCATTTATAATCAAAAGCACATTCTGGCATAAACATCTAGCAAATTCCTGGCAGTCCTACAAAGCAGACATCACTGCTGTGGCACTAGCAAAATGAGGTCCAGGGAACGCCCAGTGTCATCTTTCCTTGTCGGTGCGCCACTTGACATTGTGACGATTCCTTCGGGGTGAGTATAAATAGTGTATGACTTTTTTCAAGTTCACAAAAGATTGTAAATTACAAAAGTTGAAGTAATGCTTATCGCACGTCACATTTCAGGCCAGAGTTTTAGACTGAGAAATGGAGTTGTAGTCATTCTTAAAACGTTATGTGCAACTTCATACTGTATTCCAAGATGTAACCCTCAAAGTGTTGTCAATGACTCTCAGCTAACGCCACACCACATTTGAGCTCAATAGATGTAAAATTGAGTGAGGTATAGCCTTTACGCATTTGCCACAAGCCCTTTGCTATGAAGACCACCTTGAAATGGACCGACTCAAAAGTTAATCAGTTTGGCAGCAGGTGATGAAAATAGCATAACACTGCACTTTGTATTACAAGGGACTAGACACAACTAGTTGTTACAGTTTCAGTAACTTATTAGGCAGAATTAAACCATGTCTCCAAAATTGAGGGTGTTCAAAGAGTGATCTACAACAGATAAAATGATGTTTGTAATTTTAATTACTGGGATATAATCCCAGGGAGTGATCAGTAACAGAAACTGGGCCCATTAGCTTCCTCTGGTATTTCCAGGCATTTTTAATCCATTGCCTTCCCAAGATACTGTATCCACTTGTATTTAGTCAGCCATTATTGTACCCATGCCTAAATATAACATTATCAATATTCCAACAGTTACAGTTTTATAATGTTGAGGTCCTTAAACACAGCATTCTTCTGTGCATGAGGGTTACCTCAGAACTGTTCCAGTTCAAGTCAACTTTATTGTCGTAATTGTAAATGTCCTGATGCATGCTCAATAATCCAGGTAGAAAAATCCAAAAAAGTATAATCTGGTCCACATCTGGTCTATCTACTTTTTTTTGCTTTGTTGTTTTTTTTTTTTTTTTTTTTTTAATGTCCAGAGGACCAGATTTAAATTTTTTGGGTAATTGTAAATGGTTCACAGCGGAGTCTGATAGAAGTTGTATTTCAATTATAATCTGAACTGAATAACTCAAAACAATCAGAACAGAGCAAAAAAATGGAATTGAGCATTAAGACCTGCATTGTTAACGTAGACAGAAACAGTTTCACCTCAAGAGCCATAACTGAACTGAATAATCCCATAAGTGACAATTGGTCACAGGTTACAGGTGAGCAGTGGAGAGCATCCTGTGCTCCAGCATCAACATGTGGCATGGAGGCTGCACATCTGGAGAGAGGAAAGCTTTGCAGAGAGTGGTGAAGGCTGCACAGAAGACTGTTGGAGTCAGCCTCCCCACCATCACAGACATCTACACCTCCAGATGCAGGAAGAGGGCCACCTGCATCATGAAGGACCACACTCACCCAGCACATACAATTTTTGCCCCACTCCCTCAGGCAGAAGGTTGAGGAGCATTAAGTGTAGAACCACTAGACTGAGGAACAGCTTCTACCCTGAAGCTGTTCGACTCATGAATCCCAAGCCAGGAAAATCACTGTAATGCCACTTTGATTGGTGATACGTCACTGATCTGTGCTGCTGATTATCCGTGCTGCTGATCATCTCATGCTACTGTATTCATTCGTACCCATCTTCCCACCACAGATTCATGTTCGGGCTGCTGTCGTTAGGTCATACTGTTTTGCATTATTAGTGTTTAGCGTATATCTTAGATCTTTTGGTGTGCCGTTTGGTGTTCGTTTAGTGTATATCGTAGATCCTTAAATACCGTTTCTTTTTACACTTTATATTTGTGCTATTGTTGGGTGTAACTGGGACACCAAGTACATAATTTTGTTCCACCTAATGTACCACCTGTGATGAGCATGACAATAAAATTGACTTGGTGCAATATCACTCTTACCAATGTTGCATATGTGGTGCATCGCTAATCTACTTAATGTTAATAAGTTTTGTAATGTAATAATGTTGGTAATGCAGTTTAGATTTTGTGAATAATCTTGTTTTTAAGTGTTTTTTATTTTTTATACTCAGGGAGGCAAACTATTTTATTGTATTTCTGATGCAATGACAATAAATCATGTTCTAAATTCTTCTTAAGCAACACAAAGATCGACCCAAGACTCACTTCCTGGCTATCAAAGATGACATCATAACATAAGAGAAAAGATGTTTGACACAAAGCAAAACCTCTGAAACTCTTGTGTACTTATCCTGAAGTGATCTTACTCTGGATTATCATCTTAGATTATCTTCTGTAAAGGTGTTACATCCAGACTACATTACAATGCTGCAAAAATGACCGATTAAGATTTGAGTAAATCACGACACTCCTCCACAGGGACATACAAATCCTCAAAATGTTTCCTGATATGAATCATATGCTGGTTTCTCCAAACACACACAGACCAACTAGTTTCACTCTCTTTCTTTACATGAATTTTCCCATCTCCCTCTCTCTGTCCTGGTCTCTAGAAAACATGTCTCTGGGAGACAGCTTCCTGTTTGTAGAAGAAAAAGGAGATATTTCCTCAGAAACGCTCTTGCTGGACATAATGTTCTACCTTCACACAATCACAGGAACCCATCGGGGGGGGGGGGGGGCATGGCTCACTACAGTGGAACAAGAAACCCCAAACCTGATGGACTGAGCACAGTGAACTTGCTCGCCCTAATCTGACCGCTACCGCGTCACTCGTTCACAAGGGTATCTCAATGGGAGTGCGATGGATTAATCCCACTTGTGGTTACTGAAAACAAAAAGCCTGAAGATGCACGTCTGTTTTCTGTATTACGCTCTCCGGGTCTAATTTACTGCTGGTGCAGTGAGGAAGCTATGAGTATTCCAGATGTGTGGCTTCTCCTGGACTTTAGGATCACCTCTGGAGCTTTTTCTTATCGTCACCGGCCCTGAAGGCAATAACGTTTTTTAACGAAATGTTCAGAAAGTAATCAATGGATGTGCCTTTACAACTGATTAACTCTTGGAGTCAACTTCATTCAAGATGGCTGCCACAGCTAGGCCCGTCACGATAACAAAATGTTGCTGGGCGATTAACTGCCTCAGAAATTATTGCGATAAACAAAAGCATTGTTTGCAATTTGACAATAATTAGTAATGTCAAATTTAAGAAGAAATGTTCTCTAGCTTATTTTGTTTTGCGTGTAGTACCTTTTTCGACCACCGGATGGCAGTATAAGACTGTTTGAACTGAAGGATGGATACTGAGGGAGCGAGCAGCGTGTCTCTTCAAGAAAAATGGGAGGGAGGAGCTTTGACAAGACCCGAGGTTTATTCCCAAGTTCAGCCTGTTAGCTCGTAGCTTAGCTTCTCAGCTTATCTGCTTTTAATGATCCAAAAACGTGATTTTGGATCGTTAAAATAAATTTTAAAGAGAAATGGAGGGGTCAGTGAAGAGCACCGGAGTTGAGCCGTGTCTTCAGCAGAAAGAGAGAGACACGGAAAAAACGATAAAGCCGATAAAAGAAAATGAGGTCGATAATTTTCATTCATCGTGCGATTATTGATTTATTGTTTATTGCGACAGGCCTAGCCACAGCTAATCAACTCTAGCAAACACAAAAATGACTATAACACTTTACTGATACCATGCTGATAATATCGTGCGTCAAGGCGTCAGGATTTTGCTTGACGTTGTTTGTAATGATATTTACAAGGTTTTACCAAATCAGATATATGTACCCTTCTCATCATAAAATTATTTTAGTTCAACACTCTGGTATTAAAGTCGAAGGATGATCTGTATTCCTTCAAGGGATGCTCTTTCATTTTTCCTCCAGAAAAGTCATGACCATAGTCATGTTTTTAAGGAAATGTGGGGGGGGTTTTCAGCAAAAAGAACAATACAAGACCTGCTAAAGCTATTGCTTTGGGAAGTCTGTTGACCAAAAATAATTATATTTACTACTTGTTGCACACCGCTTTATTTTCCTTGTCTTTACCAACCTGCCTGGAGATGAAACTCCTCTTCCTCCCAGCCCGTCAGTGACTTTATCTGGTACCTTCCACTGCACAAAGGCACCAGCTGTCTGGGGTTTCCTTTATATTTGTGCCACAACAAGCACAAAACACATGCAGTCACCACACATGATGAAAAACAATCTGATGTATGTCACCCTCATGTTCTGGAGCCATTGTTGCTTTAAATATCCAGTTACACATGGGTGCTGTGTGTCCCTGCAGAAGAGCAGCAATGGAAACTGTTCTGAAACAGCATTTTTTTTACGAGCTGGCAGGAATGGGATTATTAGAGATGAAACCAGTCACTCTCATCACAGCTGGAGTGGATTTGCTTCATAATTCACCGTCAGGTTTGCACATTTTTTAGGGTGCACAAGTTTTCACCAATGCATGCAGCTCAGGCTTCATTCACTTCTTTAACTTTCCTCCTTTTTTTTTTTATACCTACACCCACTACGGTGGTTTAAAGAGTTACAGGCGCGGTATTGTCCCGGTATGTGTATAAATAAATGTTGGCCCCGGTACTTGCCTGCCTACAGTTTGATTGGCGAGCTGCTTCATCCGGTTGAACTGCTTCTTCATGGTGATTTTCGTCGAGTTGTCCGAAGTTTCGCAGCCTTGGGCTTGTCATGAAGTTCGTTCAGGGCCTCTCCCAGTTTCCCCCAAGCCGTCGCTATGACGAGCAAAAACAAGCCATTGAGCCGAAAGCCAATTACAAAGTAGTTTGTAGCCGAATGCTAGCACCCCAGCTAGCTCGTTCCTCCTCCTGAAGAGAAATCCTACAGAAAAGTTTCCCCTCGAGGAGGCGACGACATGATAAGCGAGCCTCCTTTTTTTTTTTGTTGTGCGTGGAAGGAGGGAGAGGAGACTCGAGTCAAACTTTCACTGGCGCCAGCAGCTTTTCATGGCTCTGCCTCGGTCCCGACCCGTTAGCTGACGAGCTAACGTGGAGCTGATTCATCCGTCGGAGCGGAGCGGGGAGACGGCTCACCTCCGCCTCGGAGAGAGGGAGGCGCAGGAAGTAGCATCCAGCACCTCCTCCCTCTGGACGACAGCAGGAGAAACCTCCTCTGGAAGGAAAATTACTCAAATTAGGACAGTAATTAAAAAAATACTGTACCAGTGCTGCGCAAATAAACAAAAGAACTGATTGTTTTTGATCTGTTCAGGGCCGGATTAAAGAAGGTGCGGGCCCCTGGGCAGGAGCTACTTTGGGGGGCCCTATCCACATTTTTTTTCAACTGGTACAAATTACAAAACTGAACATGTGCATGTTAATGTAAAGCGATTTTTCAGTGTTTGTATATTATAAATTTTATATTTCTAACAATTCCTACATCCTTAAATGATTGTTTGGGGATTAATGTAACTCAAACTCATCAAGGCTGTTGTAAAAATAAAAAAAAATGCATTAAGTAGCATCCAGCACCTCCTCCCTCTGGACGACAGCGGAAGAAACCTCCTCTGGAAGGAAAATAACTCAAATTAGGACTGTAATTTAAAAAATACTGTACCAGTGCTGCTCAAATAAACAAAGAACTGATTGTTTTTTTACCTATTCAGGGCCGGATTAAAGAATGTGTGGGCCCCTGGGCAGGAGCTACTTTAGGGGCCCTATCCGCATTTTTTTTTTTTTTTGTTAATGTAAAGTGATTTTTCAGTGTTTTTATATTATAAATTTTATATTTCTAACAATTCCTACGTCCTTAAATTATTGTTTGGGGGTTAATGTAACTCAAACTCATCAAGGCTGTTGTAAAAAAAAAAAAGCATTAGAAAACAACATGTATTCCTTGTCTTTATTTACAGCTAAAAATATGGCTCTCTGACAGTTGCTATCATTTATAGAAATTCTCCCATCAGAGTTTGGAATTAGCTCATTGCAATTCATTTTCATACCATTTTAGCTCCAACTTCTTTTTAAATGTGTCCTGATGCATGCTCAATAATCCAGGTAGAAAAATTTATTCAGGTTAAGTCAGGTCAACATCTGGACGGCTGCTTGTCCATCTCTCCATTTCGTCCCTAAAATCTCTACTTCTGCCGGCTCTTGTCGTTACAGCTTATAGTTGCATTTTTTTCCAGAAGAAGAGAGAATTGACAAATAAATAAAGTAATTCAAATAAATATAAATAAATAAAGACAAATAAATAACCTTGAATTAATTACCTTTTTATTTTGAGCTTAGTGACTGGTTGTATTGTTCTTTTTCTGACTCATTTTTCATTCAGAGATTATTTCATCCACTCAAAATCTATCAAGTGCCAAGGCCGTCCAAAGTGTACCAGGGGTGCCACCAGGTGTGGGGGCCCATCAGGTAAGATCCCATCCCCCAGGTGGAACCTTAAAAGGTCGCTTCCTAATTAAAAAAGAAGACAGCTGTATTAGCTAATATTAAACCTCCACAGAATTTCTGTTGAAATCAGATGTGAATAATAAACAGATTTAATTCATTCTACAGGATACTGATCACACATCCTTTCTTTTCTTTGCAGTGAGGCTATAAATTCACAGTTAATGCAAATCAAGTGAAACTGAAGGCACAAGCTTTCTGTAATTTGTATAATTGACTAAAAAGTCTCAGTCTCTGCAGCTTGTGAACAGAAACATGTTAGTTTGGGGTAAAATTCACTGTAATTTTTCAAATAAAAAATGCCAAATTCTTGTTTCGCCTGTTTTTAAATGTGTTCTGTCTCTGTTTCAGCAACATGTTATTCCTGTTTTAGGTCCTTGGATAATTGTGATCTATTTATCCAAGGCTCTTCTTTGACTAGATTAGTTGATTTATAAGCAAACTGTTCAGTCCAGTGTTTCAAAAATTGACTGAAATGTGTATAGAGACCTGCAACCCATAAATAAATAAAAATCTTTCAATCTAAAAGAAATATGGAGATCAACACATTAATCATAAAATATAAGCTTAAATTAATTTTTAAACCATAAAGCTATTAAACAAAACATTAGCTCTTTTCACAGTGGTCACAGGTTTTGCCCATCTTTATGTTCATTTGTCCTTCTGTTTGCAAAATGTCACATAAACCACCAGATAGATTTTAATAAAACTTTCAGAAATTAATCACTGGATGAACCTTTACAAATCATTAACTGCTGAGTCAACTCTGCTTGTCAGCAAAATATCTCACAAACCACTGAACAGACTTTAATTAAACTCTCAGAAATAAATTATTAGATGGAAATCTGAAAGTGATTAATTTTTGGAGTCAACCCAATTCCCAGTGCGTTGAATTAGCCTTAACTAATCAACCTTAGCAAGCACTAAAAAATGGCTGTAACTCAATAATCTTTGTAATTTTACAGATAATGAGCAAAAAAACGATGTGGTAGTTGCTGACAGTCAAACACAACACACAGGCTGAGCACTAATTGATCACATGATAAATTGCAATACATCATGTTATTTTCAAGGTTTGTCCAAAACAGCTGTGACTCTGTCTCTTCTCAATACAAGACGACTTTAATCTAAAACTCTGGCATCGAAGGCTTTGAGTGATGTGCATTCTTTTTTGAAACATATACTTCTGTTACAATAAAGTTAAGACTGAGGGGGGAAAATCCTGTTAAATGCCTTGAAATGCAGATGACACAATCTTATCAAAGTTACTTCCTTTGTTTACCTTTTGTAGAATTTTGAAAATTGCAAGAATTGCTGATGAAATTAAAGTTGTAAATAAATAAAGACTAAATTTATGACTTTCAGTCGTTCCAAACAAAAAAAATTGTGCCACTTTTTAAAATCTTACTTCGACTACGGTGATAATATTTATATGCTTAATTTCTATAATAAAAATAAAAACCTAAGCTAATAATGCAGCATTGCAAACATGGACTCACTTTGTATTAATATTACACGTTTATATATTACAGATGGATCTTTTAAATCAAATAAAATGTTATTTTGTGCATATTGTTGTTCATAAGAAAAATCCTACAAATATTTCAATTTTGTTATTTTGTATAGAGTTGTGATTATAAAGCTGCTTAGAAATTCTGTTCATGGTTATTGGCATTTTAAAATGATGCTCAATTTTTATATATATATATAAGCTTCAGAACACCACCAGCCTCCAGATTATTCACTCATACTTGTAAAGGTTTTTCCAACGCCCTAAAAAATAAAGAAGTAACTACTTATCTGTTGTGATTTTAAAAACTTCCCAGAAACATTTAAAGTTGTATTTACTTTTCTGTAAATAAACACTTAAGTGACTCTATTTGATTTTGGACTGGCACTCCCATCTTGGCTTTTCTTGGAAGAACTGTTGTATTTCATGGGGGGGGGGGGGGGGGGTGGAACGAATAAAAATAAAGTGAGTTTCTTTCTGAAGATAAATCAAGCCTACTTTCTTTATAGTAACATATAGTGTCTGACATTTTTTATATATAAATTCTTACCTATTTTGTAAAATAGCACTGTTTTTGCAAGGATAAAAAAATATATATTTCCACAACCACAGTGCGCAATAAAAATACATTTATTTTGAAAAGAAACGTATAACCGGAAGTTCTGTTGTTATTCTTCCGGTTGGTGATGTCCATACATTTCTGTCTTCGAGTTAGTTTGTTTTTAGCGCTCGCGGTTTTATTTACGGACAGTATTCTCTTTGTTCTTCTTGTTTAAACAAAACTCTCAGTTTATGACTCATAAGGGAGTCAGCAGCTTTATTTAGCTCGCAGCTTTTGTTTCTGTTAGCCGCTTTTGGCTAACCAGCTGAAGCAGGTGAGGGCTGAATGTTTTGCTACATCAGGTCATCATCGATCATTCATGGCCGCTCGGCAGCTCTTCACAGACACGGACACTGCGGATGAAGCTGTCAGGGCCACCTGTGACGACGCAACCACCTGCAAAAGGTAACATTCAGACCCAAATGACTCCCTTTTTACAAAACTTTCAGTGGTTAACGCTCAGCTGACATGCAAATCGTGCTTACTAATGCTTTGTTGCCATTTATTCTAAAATGTACAACTTTGCTTTGGTCATTTCCTGGCTCTGTCCGATAATAGGCACATGGCTGTGAGCAGTAATGTGCAGTTTATTATTAGGCCGAGTGAATCCTGCAAACACAAACGGTGCAGAAAGCTGCACCTAATTAGTTATTCAAGCTGTTCTTACTAGGCTGTTTCTTATTAAAAAATAGTGAATGTTTTGTTTGTCAAAATATACATCATTACCTATTTACTCGTCCATTTGGTGTCATCCATTCTTTAGGTTTGCCACCAGTAAATCCTACTGGAAGGACCCATACATCCAGTACTTTGTGAGATCTGTAGGAGAGCGGAAGGCCCCAGAAATTAACAGAGGCAAGTAATGCAATGTGCCTTTTACAGCATGTTCTTTATTCTGTTTGAACAGGGAAGAGGGCGCTGAGCTGAAAGGTGAAGCTGCTGTTTCATTGTTCCGTCAATATTATATGTCTCACCTGTGGTCAGGAGGTATGAGTCCTACCTGAAAGACTGAGATCCTGGATACAAGCAGCTGAAATGAGCTTCCTCAAGGAGCTGACACTAAGGCTTAGAGATAAGGTGAGGAGTTTGGAGTTTTCCCAGGCCCGTTCCACTGGGAGGAGATCATGTAGACCCTGAACTCGTTGAAAGGATTATATTCTTTCTGGTCTGGGAAGACCTTTGGATCCCCCTGGGAGAGACTTGTTTCAATTTCCCTGCTGGTTCTGTTGTTTTTTGTGATGCTCACTCACTGACTGACTGGCTTGGTGGGTGGGTGTGTAGTAAGTCACAGGTTTACCAGTAATCATTAGAATTACTTGCTTTATGATGACACAAATGATTATTAAACCGAAATATGTGACTTTCTCGGGTTAGATTTACAGTACTGTGCCAGCTCACCACTAATCCATCCCTAAAATGTTCACACGTATCGTGCGGATCACAGTTCCGTTCTTTATGTGTAGATCCAGACTTCTGTGGGGGAAGTGGTGCTCATCTTTCTCAGTCTCTTCTTTATTTTAGCTGCACAGTGAACCCATTGTCTTTTCTTCGTGTCCACTTCTTTGATTGAACAGGTTACTACGCCCGAGTTAAAGGAGTGAACCTTCTTCTCGATGCATTTATAAAGAAAACAGACTGTCGGTGCCAAGTGATCAACATGGGGGCTGGGCTGGACACCACGTTTTGGAGACTAAAGGTGAATGTGTGGATCACCACCTTTTGTCATGCTGCAAATCTGATTCATAAAATCTTTCTCTGAGATTTGGGCTTGTCTCGTGTGTGCGTGCGCATGTGTGTGTACTAGGACGAAAACCTCCTGCCACAGAAGATATTTGAAGTTGACTTTCCAGCTGTTGTTGCCAAGAAAATCCACTACATAAAGTAGGTCTCTGGTGTACACGGAAGGATGAATCTCTGGGGCAGCAATTTTCTGTTCAAATGTAGTCACTGAAGTGTGTTCCTATGTTAGTTTGCTTAGTTTGGAAGAAAATAAAAGTGTTTAATATGATGAGCCATAAAAGATAAAGTAAAACTTTAAGAAACGCAAAACAAGAAAAAAAAAAATTGTGTTTGGAGGTGTAATATCAAGCTAATACCTATAGGGGGCGCCAAAGCCTTAAATAAGACAGTTCAGTGCGTGTAAATGAATTTTTTTTCTTAGTGTAAACAGTTTCTATGCAGATTTAAAATATGAAAATGTATGAAATATGCTTTAAGTATTTTTAGCTCTGATTTAAATTTGGAAAAAATAAAATCAAACACAAAAGAACTGACTTTTTTGCTGTTTAATTTTCTAAAATAGAGGAATTTGAATTTCTAAACGCATAAAGTGGTTTTAAGACTTGTTTAATCTAAATATAGTTTAGCTCAATATGTAAAAGCCTTCTTAATTAAAAGTTGTTGCACATCATGTTTACAGCTTGTCACTCACAAAGTACTCGATCCGATGTGCTACTTTTACTGTCATACTCTGGATTAGAAAATAGTTGAACAAAATAAACGTTGTTTTAAAACAAGACTTAAACCCTTGTTACATAAAACAGCTTTTAATTTTTCCAGAAGTGTCCTCCCCACTATCGTTTTTTTTATCCGAACTGTATATTTACAGTCAAGGTCTGAACATCAGCAAGGTCTCAAATAGTGAGAGAAAAATCTGTAAAGGTCCGTCTGAAATTTAAAACAGGAAATATGTTGGAGCCATATATTTGTATGCTTATTTCTTGTTTAATTCCTGCAAAGTGCAAAATATATTTGGCCTGTCTACGTAATTAATAATAATATCTTAATTGAATAGTTTATAAGTGTGCAGAAAAATGTCACATCCTCCTTTAAAATGAGTTTTTGTTCTGGTTGCTGATGTGGAACCCAAGCTGTACATCAGCTTTATATTTAATTTCAACATAATGATGTTTAGACACTTTTCAGATTGGGAAGCAAGTCAGTTTGCGTGTACAAATACTTGACTTTTACACATTTTTTATGCTAATTTATTGTTTTAATTGTAACTTGTGTTTTTTTTTTTTTTTTTTATAAGAACCAGGCCCCCTCTGTCCAAACCTATCATTGATGTGCACTCAACAGACTCCTTACTGATAGGTATTTAACATTCATCATCTTCGTTATGATAGATTAATGATTTGAAACATTTAGTTCATCTTAATATCTGACTCTGTTTGTTTTTCCTCAGATGCCCACAACCTTGAGTCAGACCGTTATTGCATCATCGGAGCAGACCTCCGAGACATCTCCAGCTTGGATGAAAAGCTAAAGAAGTTCCACCTTAACCCAGAGTATGTGCAATGGGTTATTAGATTAAATATTTTTATTAATACTGACAATCCCCCTTTGTCTTGTTGGGATGGAGAGTCTCTAAACTGAACTACAGAAACCACTGAGACTTGAACAACTGCTGAAATTTACTGAAGAATCTGTACTGAGTTGTTAAAGCTAAAAGAAGCAGAACACTAGCTAAAAGACAGGTAGCAAAAGGCTAGCTAATTGGTAAAAGAAGCAAAAAGATAGCTTAAAGTAACAAAACTACTAGGAAAAGTGTAAGTAAAAGTAGCAAATGACTAGCTAAAAGCTAGAGTAGGAAAAGAGTAGCTAAAAGCCACGAGTAGTGAAAGGCTAAATAAAGTTCCAAAAGGCTAGCTAGAATCTCAAAGTAGCTAAAGGCTAGTTAGAAGCTAATACTAATGAAGAACTAACTAAAAGCGGTAAAACACTAGATAAAAGCTAAAAGTATCAAGTGGTTATCATCCAGTTTGACTTGACTGAAAATTGTTGGCTTATATACCTGGATTATTGAACATGGACTTTGGTGTATCAAGGGTTAGCTAAAAGCTGAAAATGTCAAAAAGCTACCAAAACTATCAAAAGGCTAGCTAAAAGTAACAAAATGCAAGCTAAATGCTAACAGTAGTCTAGGAAGTCAAAAGTAGCAGATCTTAAAGGAAACAATGTTTTTGATGGAACTGATGAAATCTGAGTGTATTTTACTGAGTAACTTGTTTTAAATAAAGTTGATATTTTTTAAAATGCATAAACGCTTACAAAAAACAAAGATCTTAGCACGTGTCTCCTGAATGAGCTGAATGTTTTAAGTGGCTAAAGTAGCACAAAGTCTGTAGAAATGGTTAGATTGTAAAAATAAATAAATAAAACAGGGAAATGCTGAGTCAGCCGTCGCACAATTTAAGTTACTTTGAGGTTAGTGTTGATTTTACTGTTTGTTGTCAAGTTGAAGTTGTTTTCTGTGCACACTTCTGCAGGTGGTAGAAGTGCAGCTTATCTCTGCGTTTTCTGACTGAAAGCGGCTTCAGATAAGTTTCACTGTGAAGAGCGACCAGACGGCTGATGTGCAGATGTAATGTCTGCCATCTGGGTCTGATTTCAGAGCAGACCACACCCAGAATGAGTGTCTCTAAATCTGTCTGTGTAAAAAGGGTGGTAACGAGTATTTATTATAGTATTTGTACATCTGACAGAGTTTTAGCCATTTTATGTTGGCTAATGCTGATTAACTGGTGGCCACCTTGAATTAATCTCTTTTAAATGTATACACGAGTATTTTATACATCTTTCATTAAGATCCATCCAGTGTTTCTGAGATATTTTGCTAACAGGCAAAAAATTATTGCCAATAATCACAGAGTTGAAGTTTTTAATTTGCTTATGATGAAGTCTCCCACATCGTTTGACGGTTTGTTCATGGTTCTTCTCAAACACAGATTGCCAACAGTGTTCGTGTCAGAGTGCGTGCTGGTCTATATGACGCCATCGCAGTCCTCCAACCTGGTTCACTGGGCGGCAGAAACCTTTCACACCGCCATGTTTATAAACTATGAGCAGGTGACGCGTCGTCTTTAAACCATCTGATTCAGTAAATGATGCCGCATGCAGTCAACCTCGTCTGTCCGTCCAGGTGAACATGAGTGATCGATTTGGTCAGGTGATGATCGAGAACCTGCAGCGTCGTCGGTGCACCCTGGCTGGAGTTGAGGTCTGTCGGTCTCTGGACTCTCAGGTACCTTCATGCTCCTCATTTAATGCTTATATATTGTAGTTTTATGACTTTTAGCAATGATGTTTGTGTTAAATTGCTAAATGTTCCGTGCTTTTCAGAAAGAGCGGTTTCTGAGGACAGGCTGGGGGCACGCAGACGCTCTAGATATGATGACGGTTTACAGTGTGCTCCCTCAGGAAGATGTGGCGAGGTAATGCATCCTCTGCCTCACCAAGAATCAGTCAGCCGACTGTAATCACAAGACAAAGGTCTAAATAAAATCAGAATTTCTGCAATAGGAAGTAAGAGAAGTTTTAATAGCGTTGTTAGAAAATGCCTTTGTCTGCTTTTATTTTGCAGGGGACATTCTGGTAATTTTCAAGTCTGTAGAAATGTTATTAACAACTAATATCTTACCTGTTATACATAACTCTTGAACAACGTGTTTAGAGCAATACAGTTTAAATCTGAAAGGAATGAAAAGGTAATAGCTAGAATAAGTGTTGCTAAGATTAAAGTGGACTTCTGCCATCGTACAGCAGCTTCTGTGCCAAACTGGTTTTGGATTAAAAAATGGTTGTCAGTTGGGATATGCAGCGAATTAAAGTTCAATCACCTGCAGATGAAAAGACCTTTGTAGAGGCTTCAGATACAGAGACGAGTGCTGTTAATTCTACTAGTCAGGGATCTTCATAATCCGTAATTTGTGCAGATCCAGTGGATCAATGTGGAGAGCAGGGTGCCAGTACTCTGACAGAACGGCCGAGCTCTCACAGGATCAGAGTTTTTGCTGAAAAATCCTTTCATAACAAGTCACAAGGGCAGAAACACATCAGATGCTGGAACTCCCATCTGTTTTTTTAGTTATTTTGAACAGAGGGTGGTCAGAAAGTCTTGTCACAACAATAAAGCACCCTGACTACAAAGCACCATGAGGAAACAACTCCATCTCTTGCATATATATATA